CACAGTAGTCCATGGGCATATACTAGTCTATGGTCTTATGCTTGTTCTGATACAGCTCAAGAACATTCAAAAGTTTTTCAGGAAAGGCTCATTTTCTGTCCTGCTGTTATTGTGACTTTTTAAGTATTGCTACCTGCTAAAATTAATAACAATTTCGATATGAGATTCAGTATCAATTAGTATTAGATTTTCGATACTTTTGACAACCCTAATCAACCAAGACAAACTGTAGTTGATAAAGACACCATCAACCAATGAATCGTCTAAACGAAGAAAAGACTTGCAGCCCTACACCATACCCCCCTTACCCGGCGTCTGTCACCGCTCACCAGTAAACACATGGACGGAGGTGACGGCTGCTTGTTTCCAGCCTGACCCCTCCAATGAAAGGGCCCATTCTGTGCTCTACCCCCTTACTCACCCAGCCTGCCAGCCTCCAGCCCTCTGACTCAACACTTGGACAGACGCACACGTACCACTGTTTCCACTCTCCGTAGAGCAGCAGAGGCCCAGGAACACTTGCACAAACCAGTGAAGGGTTGGGATAATAAAGTTATTTTGTAGATTTTACTAGGTCTGTCACGATAGATATTATATCAACTTATTGTTTAATATGTGACAGATGGCACAATAATTGTTTAAGGTCAATATTTTTTGTGGGTACTTTTTCTTTGGACTAGTTGGAAAATTTTTATTATTGTTCTGTACTGTGATTAGATTTGACCTGTAGAAGGTTGAATTGTGAACTTCTATGACTCAATAGAGATAGAAACTAACTACATAAGTGTTATGTTCTGTTATTTATTTATCACTGTTCATATTGTAAACAACATGTCAACACTTTTTGGGGCATAATTCTGCTTTATGGTTTGGTTTCAATAGTATCATTTATCATCTATATTTAGTTCAGCAATATATTGCACTTCAAAATTTGTTATCGTGATAGGCCTATATTTTTTTAATGCAGAGGCAGTCTAGACAGAGGAGGTAAACTTTACACACTTGTACTCGGATTACGGAAATTGGGAGATGGGGAGATGGGAGTCTAGGACCACAAATGAAGCTCACAATGCCAGCGATTATAGAGGCGTATTTGGAGCCAGTTCAATATTAATAAAAGAATACGAATTTATTTATGCACAAAATAGAAAAATAAGAACACGAGGATTATGTAGCTCAGGTTAAAAAGAACATTTAAAGATCAGAATGATGAGGCTCACTGTAACAGTTAAAGAGAGAGAGGTGACAATCAATGTAAAGTCAATTGGAAAGAGAGTCGATGGAGCCGGAAGCGCACCCATGAACACTTCCTATCTGGAACACGGTGGCTAGTGGGTTAGTGATGTCCATTTATATATGGTCTATGGTCACAGCATGTGTGAACTTTGCCATCCTTCCAATTTAGGAATTAGTGTCTTATGATATTTCAACCATAAAATAATAGTTGGTGACTTATTGCATTTATTGAGGCTACAATATTTAAAGCAATTGAATTGTCTGCAGTTTCAAATGTCATTATACGCAAATCATAAAGACTGCATTTATAAAGATGATGACCACAGAATGTAGATAAAAATCTGCTAACCCTGTATTTTACAACTCTATAAAAAACAGTATGCATTTGAACACGTTTGTAAACACTTCTCAAATGCTATGTGCACTGCTAAATCAAGCTAAATACCAATTTGGAATCAGAATTATATATTTTTTTTATTCATTTATTTTATTTACATGAATGTCCAATCCTCCAGCATGCTTATCACTGTCAAAGTTGTACCATGACCTGAGGTTCATTGTGGCTTGGAGTAGGCACAGTTCCAGATTTGGCTGATGAAAAGTGAGGATTACATTTAAAACCATCAAGATTACAATGATAACTGACTGATAATAATCTGACAAGACACTGAAATGCATTGTCAAGGTAAATGCATAGCCCTAAGTGACACAGTTGCATATCGTCACTCACAGAGTCTGTACGCACATCTGCAGCCCAGACAGACACACACTCACATGTGGAGAGCTGCTTTTAGCTGAGCTGCTACGAATACAGAACTATTCCCAAAATGTTTTCTCAAAGAGACACTATTTACATACTTCCAGAAGAGTTATCTAGGGCATGAGAGGGTGACCCTAAAAGTGACAACATGCTGTTAAACCCAAGAGACTTGACACAAATAGTAGTAGTGCAATGCCCTCTACAAAACACCACTGGTTTCAACAGCTAAGATATTTGGATCACAATGATTGAATTTCCAATTCTGATTATTATTTACAACAATTCATAACATCTCAAGCCTGCTTCCTCCTTGCTGTGCCTGTGCCAAGCCTGGACAAATGCAGAGATTTGGAGAATCAAAATGTAAGAAACACAGCATTTCTTTTTTGTCATTGAAATTTAGACTTATTTATCACAATCTACTCAAACCATATCAAAATTTGGCCTACCACAAACCTTGTCAAAAATGTATGGCCTCAACACTGATCAAATTTTATATAGACATAGGACATATCTTTAAAGTGGAAAGACAAAGTGCAGGTTTGAGTCTAACGTAAGACCTGCTTGTTACAGTTTCTCACTGACACAGCGGGACACACCCAAAAACAAGAGCAGTGTGCAGTTTCAGGTATGGTTTGTTGTGCTTAGTTCCACCTCACCCCACCTCACCCCTGCACCAGGTTTTCACTGTGTCCGACCCACCACCGGAGCAGAGCACAGTGCTCTGTCTTTCATTATGTTCCATTTGAGCGTCAATCTCACTGCAGCCAGAGAAGAATACCTGTGTTCTCTTTGAAGTCCGGCCCTGACTATAGTAAATTATCAACCCAAACCGCTCCAGGCCCTTAGCACTGCCGCTCGCCTTTGCACACATCATTACCTGTCCTTCTTGTTTCTGATATCTCCTATACTGACTGTTACAACATGTGCTTATAGTGATAGGCCACTTTATCAGCAGGCAGGGACAGTGCTGGATGTGGGTACGTTTATGTAGGGCTGTAACAATAGAGAAGAAGAAGAAGAGGACAGGAGGGCGAGAGCACTACAGCACACAGATTAAATAGCCAACATTCCTTTAAAAGGAAGAGAAGGTAGCCTTTGGGCTCCAGACAAGCCTCCACTTGTAAAAAGTGGAGAGGGAGAGAGACATAGAGAGACAGAGAGAGAGAGAGAGAGAGAGAGAGAGAGAGAGAGAGAGAGACAGAGAGAGAGAGAGAGAGACAGAGAGAGACAGAGAGAGAGAGATGACAAGTGCACAGCTCCTGTAGACTACTGGAGCGGAACAGGAAGTGGCAGAGCTTGCTTCACATGGGGAGGCCTCTGGGGTGCAAAAGCCAAAAGTCGCTCCAACCTCCAGCTGTGACTTTACTAACAAAAAGAACAAATCAGCAGCAAAGCACAACAGAACTTCATGGATAGATTTTTAAGCTGTTATTTAAAAGAACATAATGCAACATAATTTACACAGATACAAAGTTACAGAGTTTAAACTTTTGGTTATAATTTTGGGAGCAACAGTGACAAATGGGTTTAAGTGGCTAGTAATCTTGCCTCACAGGAAGAAGGGTGCCAGGACCTTGAAGGATAGTTCAAATGCAGGGGAAAACTTCCCTAACGAGACAGTGCATCTTAACCTTTAACTTTAAGTTTTGTCCCCCTAACCAGATTACTCCAGCCACTTAAAACATGGCCTTGGCCCATTCTGTTGTTGTTTCCCTGATTATGTCCATGTTGACTACAATCAAAATGTACAGTACATGGCTGTTAAAATAAGGACATCCCAGTAAAATCATGTCAAATTACCACATACTAGTTCACTGTGACAACACTGACTGAAAAATCAATATCTTGCACAGAACAATGAAAAGTTCTCACACTATCTTTACTTGAGTAGCCTATAGCTGTATGTAGCAGGGAATAACATACTTGGCTGAGAGAAGGCTGTTTTCTTGTGATTAATGAAAACATGACGTTGTACTGGCAAGCACAGCCTCCTATCTGTGCTTAATGTCTTCTTGGAGATAATGAAGCAGCATTGGTTTTACAGTAATTACAGTTTCCTGAGAACACAGGAAGCCCACGCAGCCTTACTCTGCACAGACCGTGTCCTCTCCGTTTCACGAGGCAAAATCATCACGGCTAATCAATTATATCCAGACACTGATTATTGAACTGTCTGCTCTGGAGCAGCCCGCTCTGTGGCCCGTTTGACGTGTGAGTGCTGGAGTACTGAAAGTACTGCAGTTGTCTTCTGCTCTGCACACAAACAAACCTGGTAATAAAAAGGACTGCAAATAATAATAATAATAATTAAAAAAAACAAACAAACTGTAAGTCAGGTGACTTTAGCTATAGTGTTCAACGCTGAGATTTAACAAAGTTAAGCCTACTGGCTATTGCCTCTCCAACAAAGTAATTACATCTGCATCGGGGATAACAACATATTTTCTTATTGTATCAAGAGGAGGATAGTATTTTAAAAAGGTCAACAGTCATAAACTGTGTGCACACTATCAATAAAACAGCATAACTCCCTAAAGGAAGATTAAAGTGATTTGTGGGTGCTGTACGACCTAACCCTAAAGTCAGGAGCTCAGGTCTAGTCGTAAAGACCTAGATGACTTTGCCAGAAAGTACACAAAAGCAACTTGTATTACTGATGCCCAAAGTTATACCCGTGTAATATCCTTGCGCAGTGCGCACGGCGCTGCAAGAGATTTTCAGCTGCTTAAAGGCAGACATACTATATACGTGGCTTATATTATGCCATTGACTACAAGAGCAAATAGCAGCTGTGTTAAATCCACATCGAGGTGTCGAGGCAGCCGAGCACAGCAGCATTCCTGTATGTGGACGCCACGGTCTGCTGTGCGCACTCCAACGAATCAACCATTACAATCGGTTAAACAACACACACAAGAGCGCATTAAACATCACAACGCTGCACACGTTTGAGCACTGCCCATCCATATTTATGCAGTAGGGGAAAAAAAAACATACTCACCCGTGAATCGAAATAAAACGACAGGTAGAGCGCACGGTAGGTTTCCTACTCGAAACTTGCTGTGTGTCAGTGGGGGAAAAACATTGTACGCGGAAGTGCGCGTGAAAAAGTGAAAAAAGTCATACGGGGAGAAAGACAGAGGGTTCCAACTTTTTCGGCCATATGTTGTTTATTTTTTATGATCAAATGAGCATTGCATTCAATAAAGTGAAACTATGACTAATAGAAACTTCGAGTTAAAATGGTTTGTGTTAAACTTTCCATCTCAAGTTGAAGGAAAAAAAAAAGTAGTGCCAGTTGTTTCCGCACTGTGTTACACAGTAACCTTTCCCCACTCCCCACTGTAGGCAGATCTTTCACCGATTAGGCTGCTGTTGTCATCTCTACAACAGGGTATTATGTAAAGGTACAAATATAGTTTACTTGCTTATTTGTAGGGTGCATGCACTGGACTTGTCCAAGGCTTATATAAAAACGAAAACGTAGCCTTCAACAGTAAGGCATGCTGGGTTATATACAAGAATCTATCGTATAGGCTGATGGATTCAGTGCACAAGGGCAAAGCTTTATACGTAGTATGATATAAAAATATATATTTTTGGCTGAAAATCAAAGCATTCCAAACTTCTCGAAAACTATTGACGTGATTCACAGGCCTGTACCTCCACCTGGTGGTGAAATTAAATAATGATAAAACAGAATGTACTGTATTAGGCATTAATGGGGCTACAGAACACATGGTAAAGTATCCCGTGGTTCTAGTCTTGCATTTAACTATCCCTGATAAATTAGAACGAGTCTGGATTCTGTATAGGCTAAAATTGGCTGGGGGGGACAGTTCTATGAAATCATCTACCAGACTTACTATTAAGATAATCATGTCATATGGGTAGTGCATGGCTTGTTGGTGGTGCATATAGTAGTTGGTGCAGCATCATCATATCTCAAGATATTTGAACCTGGGACTCTTGACAAAATGAAAAAGGAGAGGATTTTTGAATAGGTCTAATAGGAGGCTACTTCTTCTGTTATTATTTATTAACTGTTGTTTATTATTATAAAAGGGATATATTTTCCTTTTATTCATGCATTGATATCTAAAATAGGCCTAGATATGTTGGTCCTTTCATTGGAGGCACCACAGCACATATGCCTTTATTGTGTCTATAGGAGAGCAGTGGCCTCTTTTAGCTTAAGGCGTTTTTTCCAGAGCCCAGATGGTACACTGTTTAGTACAATGCTTTGCCACTATATGTACAGTCACAGTAATATTTAGGGAAGTACTTTGATAGATCTTTCACAGTTGTGGGATATTTTCTAAGATAACTGACATACACCTGCTCAGCTAAATCTCCTTTTCTTATTATTGTCCCTGCAAATTGTTCTTTCTGTTAGTGCTTTATAGCTCAAAGCCAAACTACTCTTCTCCCATTGTGTAATTTCTCCCTTGATCATAAAAGGTTTTCTAATGGCTGACATTTAAGTGCCAGCAGTCATCATTCGGTGAACAAACCGTTATTCAGTGGCGCTTCTCTTAAATGGAACAGAGATAGTCCTATAATAAAGGCAGGTTCAAATTACCTATCAGTGTGACGGTGGTGATGTGAAACTTTTGTGTTACCTGTCATTTTAACACATTGAAAACTTAAATGTGTTGAGATCTGTAATAGGTGCTTACCTCCGAGTTCCTTACTGCACTAAAATTTGGACAAAATGACAGTCTATATCCAGAATAATGTTTATTGCTTTGAAGATATTAATCTTTTTTTTTTTCCTTTTTTGCTCTTCATTTATTCCTCTTTACAGTAAAACAAAGAGAGATGACCGGTAGAACCACTGCATTGTCAGGTTGGATGTCTTCACACATACACACACAAAGGATATTTACAGCTGTCAGTGGACAAACCTAATTCACTCAATATGGGACAATCTGGAAAATGTAAGACAAGTGGGATCATATACCACACTGTATGAGTCAAAACTGAGATATTTTATAACATTTGTATGTGATTCTTCTATTTATGTACTGTATATTGGAAGAATATTACCAGTTGCTATACCAAAACAAGAAAAAAACAAGTGAGACGTGTTTTTGAGGAACTCTAGCTCTAGTTGAATGCTGGTCAGTTGCGTAGTCCCAACTTGTTTTTATTTAATCACCTGATCAGTAGTTTATAATGTGTTTTCCTTTAAACAATTTTATTCTCTTGATATTTTTTCTTTACATTTTTCACATTGTCCCAAGTTGTTCAAACTGGGCTTGTTTTGCTCATGAAGGTGACTGTAAACCATTTTCTGGAGCAACTCAACAAACATTACATTAACTTTACACTTAGGGCGTTCACGACTTATTGAAGACTGTACCATAGGCAACAGATGCTGTGAAGCTATACACTTGAAATTGAACCAAGGACACTGACCATCAGAATCGTAGAGTAAAACTGCTGCAGATGTGTACACTATATCACTTTTGTATGTGAAACGTCCTTGAGCAAACCCAATGGTCCTGCTGCTGGCATGGACAAAATGCATTGATTGCAAAAATAATCAAAACAGATTTAGAAGGGAGAATTTAACAAGAAAGCCAATATTATTCACATTTGACTAATTATAGTACACAGGCTGAATGTAAGCTATAAAAATAAATCTACGGCCCAAAGGGTTTGTGTGTTAGACGAAAATGACCATAGGGCACAATTAACCCAGGCTGAGGAAGTCGGACAATTCCACTGTGTCCTGCTCATAGAAAAACATCAGCTCATCTGCCATTAATAATTTAAACTTTGATACACACGCTTATAATTTTCCAACATTTTAAATACAGAAACCACAACAATACAGCTTAATTTATCATAGTCATATTAATTAATGTAATGTACACAATATTAAAATATATACACAGAAATATTCATTCAAATTATAGATTGACCAAACTGTCCTTTTCTCTTTTTCTTTCCTTTCAAAATGTGCAGCAAATGCCTCAATCACAAATAAATATTCACAGTATACCACTTTAGCATAAATATGCATTTTAACAATATAAATAAAAACATTTTATAAGGTGCAACTCTGGGGAGGTTTCCAACACAAGACTACAAACCAGAAGTTATGTGAAAGTGTCCACTAGGGGGTAGTATTTGATCACATCTTCAAGCTGAAGGGGATAGCGTTGGAGATTTACAGGACAAAAGTGTAAAAAATTGGATCGATTTGACAATTCCGTGTTCTGAAATGTTAGTATAGGGATGTTGTTTGTTAATGTTTGTCAAGACAGGGAAAAGCGGGGTTGTAATTTACCACCTCAATGCCTTCAATCACTGCTCAGAAAATTGTATTGCACTAAAACAAAACATTAGAGAGATCAAAACACAAGATAGTTGTATGGTCATGCTTGCACCTCCAGATAATATACCCTATAATTTCATGTGTGTCAAAAATATGGGAAAAGTTTGTCATTTATGAAGTCCAGAATTATGTGTCCAAAATACATATGGAAACATTTAGTGCAGGACAGAGTCTTTGACCAATAAAAAGGAGAGAAAAAGAGAGTATTTCAGAGCAGATGACAAGATGGCTGACAAAGTATTAGCTGTGTATCATTTTGAGAGTGTCTGTCTCCCTGTGCCTGTCGTGTAGAGCCAAAGAGGGGGAGAGTGAGGGTGGCAGGGAGGGGGGCGGAGGGGTGATGGGCATCAGGCTCTTCAGAGGGTGGGGGGACACTGGCACCGGTGGTAGAGAGGAGATAGGGGGCAGAACACTGGTCTTCTTCCCGTCCAAAACGATCTGGGGCCTGTCTCGATTCAAACTTTTACTCACACTAAACTCGTCATTTTCATTCTCCGAGCTGCAGTCGCTTAGATCTGTAATCTCCAGATCAGAGTCCGATTCCGGGTCTGCTTTAACCCCTCCTCCTCCACTCCTCCTCTCTGTGGGACTCTGCTGGTCGCTCCCTGTCCCAACACCCACCGCCCCGAGTCCCAATCCAAGGACTGGAGTAGTGGGCTCTACCCTGTCCCTCTCCCCCAACACTGTCCCATTTCCGATATCTGAGCGTCCCAAAGGCAGGCTCCCCGGGTAGGGTGGGAGGCACAGTCTGGGGGGCTGACCACCCGCTGTGCCATTTGTCCCTCCCGTTTGGCCCCGATCACCTCCGCCGCCTGCCTCCCCTGGGGGCAGCAGCGAGGAGAAAGGGTTAGGCAGCTGGGAGAGGCTGCTCTGTAAAGGGTTAGGGTAGAACTGGGAGGGGTATAAGGAGCCAGGGGGCAGTTTGGGGCAGTTGTTGAGAGAGAAGGCCCCTGGGAGGTAGGGGTTGAAGCCCCATGGATAGTCGAAGGGTGGGCTGCGCGGGTAGGGACCCAGCAGGGACGGGGGTTTGGAGTAGCACGGAGCACCTATAACACATAACAGGATACAGAGAGGGTTAGCTCAAGAGGGCAAAGGTTTCCTGGCATACACCATCTAAGAATGTTCACTAATTATCCTCTGCAATATTAGCAAGTCTAATCAGAAGCCACAGGGGCCAATTCTGGCACGGTTACTTTCAACACAACTGTGGTGGTTCATTTATGCATGCCAATAGTGTAGCACATCAGAGAACCACATGTGGACCAACGGCGCAGATCTAACAAAAGGATGTGTAAGTGTAAAATCAGAATTACTGTAGTTAAGCATTGTAGACATTTCTACAACTGTGCATCGCAGCATAGTTGTTGCTATAGTGAAAGTGAAGAGACTGACAGGGAGGAAACTTTAACTGCATTGTTTTGACATGTTTGTATCATTTTCAATTACACAAGAATATCTTTAACGTGCTGCAAATTAAAGATCACACTCTATTTGACTTGAGTTCTACACTAGTATTATCCCACAACATTGGGCAAAGTATGAATCTGTGGTGAAGCAGTGATTGAATTTTAATGCATAAACAAAAGCATTGCCTCACTACCAACTGCACTTCCTTCCAACTGACAACCAACTCAAAGATTCAGTGTGTCGCTCTCATCTCTTCCCCTCTTCCTTGCCTTACTCTTTCCCTATCCTCCACTCCTGTTATTTACTATGCAGGGCTAATTTGACAGTGGAGAAGTCTGGGCGTGCTGGGCCGGGAGTAGCTGGCAGACACATGAATATTGAATCAGTCAGGCAGGCCTCACTTGCTTATGAAAACACAGTAATGGGCGCCCACAGGCCACAAACTCAAGCCTGCACCCTCAATTAGGGCCTTCCTGCCTGGGAAGGGATTAGGACAGCGGGGACACAGGGGAGGGAGTGGAGGGCGAGATGGG